GTCTCTGCGGCATGTTACAACGACAAAAAGCATACAAACACCTATCTACGGTAACAATAGACTAATATACATTGATCCGTAACAATTCAGTTGAATATGGAATTTCATCGTGTATCCAAACTTTTAGTTTGGAACAGGATAAAAGCAACCAGATATATGGCATCAATGTCAGTTTTTGTGCTACATGATGTTTTTCTTCTCATTAGAATACAAGGAAAAAACTTTTCGACTTTCTTCACCCTAGAAACTTTCGAGAAAATCAAAGTTCAAGTTTTAATAAACTAAATACTCTATTTAGTCAGGATTCGACACTAATCCTAAATACATCGAAATGTAAGTAAACTAGCGGGAACTCGTGCATTCTATACGGCCATTTGTTTTCATCACCGAAAGCAAGGTTATTCCGATTGTAAGAAAATTATCAAAGATGTAGTTAGAGCCCTTACCTCCGCTATTTCCACACAAGTTATTTGTGTGGGTGGATGCGTGCGGACAGTTGTGTGTTCGATAGAACTCGTTGATTTTTATTAGGAATTGTCGTTTTTCGTTGCAGAAACTAGCAATGTAAACAAGTGAACTACACAATAATTGAATTTTGCTACGGAGTTTCCGTGATACAACAGTTCCGTGCGCGACATTTCTGCGCCGGGGACGTGAGTGTGGGTAGACTGTTCAGTTCATCCTTACTTACATCCACCCTTCACACCCACACCCATACCAACATCCAGGAAAATATAGAACACTCTCATCCATCTTGGCAGTGATGGATTGTGACTTTCCTTCGTAAAAATGATTACTACACAGAAGCCCTCATTTGTGATACTTGATTGCTATTCATTAGTCTTATATCCGCATATTTTTCGTGATACAGCAGCTGTATCGAAGTCATTCCCTGAATGGAAACACATCATGCTATCTTATAGCTAGAACAGTCATCAAATCGTATCGGAAATCTCTCGTATTCTAAGCATAGAAAATATTCCAGTTTAGTTCCATTCATATGGTGACACGAAAGACGATATGTATGGATGGTATGCGTCTAGAGATGATTATACTCTTCTTATACAGTAATTAACACCAGTTAAATCAGCCAAAGAAAATATATGAAGTTCGTCAATCAAATAGGAATTCAGTCGACCGTATTATAAGAGTATTTTTTTAATTGTGAATTTGTGAGTACATATCTTAAATATCAATGAAGTTAGACTGTACGTGCCCTCCATAAAGTATGCAGTTGTATTGTAACTGCTAGTTATTTTCCTCACTGTAACTTCGATGGATCTAGCATTCTTTCCTTATATAATACATTAGAAGATAGAACACATTGACTACCATTCCTTTAAATCTTTTGAGTCACACTGCTCGTGCTTCAAGAAAATTTCCTTCTTGTGTTGTTTCTTTATTTTATCAAAGAAACATTTCAACGGAGTAGGAGAATAATGCTAACTAATAAGAAGCATTGTCCGATGATGGTTATGTTGAAGGCCTGGCGGCCAAGCGGGCGTATAACTCATTTCTCTCTTTGTTGTGCGTCTCGTGGTCAATCATTGCTTGGGCCAAGAGCTGTTGAAATAGAGGAATGTTGTGATCCGCTCGCTCATTCACCTTTTGCACTTCGGTAAAGCGTTCTTCCTCACTTTCCAACATGAGGTATCTGGCCATTGTGGAGCCTTGCGTCGTGATTGCTTTCATGGATACTTTCGTATAAAGGGATGCCAACGTAGAGAGTAAGTTCGCCGCTTGATCTATGTCACCCAGCGTCCAAAGAAGTCTGTTTCTGTCGTTCATGAACTGCAATTGACTGACTATGTCGATAGAACGAGATAGAGAAAGGCATACATTACCTGCACCGCTCCACTAGCCTGAACAGCGAGCTTGCTTGAGTACTCAGTCACCTGATTCCATACAGCAATCAATGACTTGAAATAGGCAAGAATGTTTGATAGAGCTGTTGCATGATCGATATCCAAAGGTGACTTGTTCACCTGTGTCGAAGTCGAACCACTGGGGCTGGACGTCGTTGATGGTGGCGGTGATGGCTGTACCGCTCGAAGCAATTCGTCAAAGAAAGCTGTCACCTTTTCGAGCTCCGTAGAGGCCTTCCCAACAACTGAAGCCACGTCTCCGGCTATCCTGGCGATGCCCTGAAGCGTGCTTGGAAGAAGGATTTGTCTTTCCTGGGTCGATGCATCGAAGAGTAGGGTCAGAGCTGTATTCAGTTGCTCAGGCATTTGACCCACGCTCATTTGCACACGAGAGGTACTTATTTCAATTGTTCTGAACGCGCTATCGACAACGTCAGTTGCTTGAGTCAGAGTAGCTCGGTAGGACGAAGGGTACCTGATGTAGGTGTAAGGACGAGACGTATCAAGTGTGTAGTCTCGACGTGATACTACAATGCACACACGAGAGAGCTCGGCAATTGCACGCATTGCCATGACACCGAGATCTTGCCATGTATCGACTCTCGTAGGAAATGTTGATGCACGTGTTGTCAAGGTGCTGCTCTGCGAAGAGGTCAGACCAGCGATGGCGCCAAGTACGATGAATAAAACGAACATTATTCTTCTAGATATTGTGAGTAGCAAAGTCGAAATGACGAGAAATAAAAAACACGAATAAATGACTTTCTCCAGATGCACATCTTCCCAGCACCCTCTTTCTCTTCTATAGATATGGCACAGTCTATGCAAAGTATCGCTCCGATTAGGTTAAAAAAAATGTATTCTGAATGATTTTTTTGGCGAGATGAATGAAAGAGGTAGCGAATGATTTTTTTATTCTGTAGCAAACGACCTTGGTCAACAGGTGTCGATTTTTGCTACAGCGCACAATTTTATCAGTTCGAGATACTAAAAACATATCAGTTTTGAAATTGAAAGCTACTTCGATGAAGTCAGACACAATTTAAAGTAAAATAGTGCATTTGTAGCTCTTGTCGAGGTCTACAATACGGACGATCTACCTGTTCACAATCATAGTTCTGTGGAGTGTGTAAGGTTTCTTCTTTAAATGGTGTCTAATATCCGGTGAGGTAACACAGACGTCCTCCTAAATTTCTCTCACAATAATTTCGATACAATAAAGTCGACTCAAGTTTAGACACTGAGCACAAATTCGATGTTAGATTTCGAACAGGATTTGAGTATAAACACAGCGATATATTACTTATATGTATCCAAAATTGACGCCTCATCGGTTTTTACTTTCACGATATATTTTTCCGTGAAAATAGATCAGCGCTTATGAATGGGATTTGTTGCTAATGTTAATGACTATCTTCAGTGAAAATTTGGTGATTAAAACTCTTGTTATTCTCGAGATAATGGAACTATAGTGGAGATCTAAGGTTGCTTCGGCTTGCACTGCAACTTTGAATCGGATTATAACTTCGAAAAAATTCAATCAAAAGAAATGATATTTCTAGTAGATTTACAGTAACCCAGGCAGACAAAATTAATAACTAAAACCCGTTAAAATGCTCATAAAATCGGACGCATTCCAAAACGTAAAAACCACATATTTTAACACGTTACGAATCCATTCAGACTTTGAAACGAATTTTTAATCGCTTAAAATTCTAACCCATAATAATTGGTAAAAGTATGCAATTTTATAGTGTTTTTGTCGTTAGATATATCGACCCGTTTTTATAACGTTAAATATTTTTATGTGTTCATAACGCATTAGAATGTGTGCTTTTAACGATTTGGAAATCGTTTAACCACTAAAACGTGTTTCGAGTGTTGGTGTGGATGCAGGCGTGTGTGGATATGAGTTTTCTTTCGTCCGCACTCCACACCCATAACCAAAATTTTTACAAATATTTTAAAATTTCGTATTCTGTAAATTTCAATAATATTGATAGTTTAATCAACAAATGTCAACTTTTGGATTATTACAAAAGTCAGTTTTTTATGCGCTTTCGAGTGGCATATTGCTCAGAAAAATTGAAGGAAAATTCTAGGTTTTACAAGCAAAATACTGTTTTTTTCTGAATTTGTAATAGTACTTTAAAAGAAAAATTAATTTTCTCAACAACTAAAATACTTCAGAGACTGAAAAGAAAATGGTGTCTAGGTTTGTGCGGACAATCAAATAAGAGTAGTTCCAAGAAAAAAGAATTCCACTTGATTGTCGTGTATCTCGATGGGTTCACAAAGCCTCTCTTAAAAGATATTCTAAGGACAACTGGTCTTCTAGACAACAAAACTTTAGTCAATTTTTCGAATTTACAATAGTGTTGTTACATTCACACACATATGTTAAATAAAGCATAGCTTATGATATCCCAAGAGGATTGTATAAACTATACAACGATAAGATTACTAATACAGCTATTCTTCTTTTTTTTTGTTTTTATACAAAACGAATTATAAAGTTCGAGAACACTGCGAATATTTTACGTGCAATAAATATTTATCCATTATCGAGGAGTTCAATAAGAATAAGAATACATCAATTGTGTCATATATAGATTCAGACTATTAGATACAAAGATACGTTTTTTTTTATCAGAATGTAGTTGTATGTGAAGTTTAAAACGAACAAACTTTATGTTTGTCAAACTAAACTCCCTTGTCATTCCGTACATCACAAAAACAACAGCTGCATATAGACGAAATAGCACACCTAGATCTGCAAATTTCTACAGAAGAAGAGAGAAAAGTTCTTTTGATTGACCGAAACGCGTGAGCCAAGTTGGAAAATACCAAATGGAAGAAGTACATAAAAGAAAAGGTCAATATAAAATTGAAATATGCCATAAATGAGAAACTCATGAAAGAAAAAGAATAGCCCCCATACACCTGTATGCAAGTTTCTATTCAAACAAAAACAAAATCCTTACAAGAAATATAACTTCTTGTTACCCTCTCGTTTAAAAGAAAACAAACGAAAATATAAAAGAAAGAAGAGAAAAAAAAGCAAACGAATAATAGACGAGAGAGGGCAAAGCAACTAAGGTAAGTTTATTTTTGTAGTCACATGCATGTAAAAACATGGCAAACGAAAACATCAAAAATTTAACCAAAGACTTCGTTATCGTTTGGTTAGATAGTTATATTGAAAATAACAGAGCCAATAAAGATACAAAGGCACTTATACGACAATTAGTTAGAGGTAATTTATTAACATATGATAATCCAGATAAATGTATTGATGATATAACTGACGAACTAACAAAAAAACGGGTATTTCTTATTGTTTCTAATGCATTAGGTGCAAATGTTGTACCACATATACATGAATTACCATATATACAATCGATATACATATTTTGTGGTGATCAAAAAAAAGCTGAAGCATGGACTAAGCCATATTCAAAAATCGCTGGTATATTCACAAAAAAACATCCATTATTACATAAAATTAGTAATGATATTGGTGTGTATGATACAGATGAAGATTTACCAATGAGTATATTTCATCTTACGGAACAAGAAAATTCATTACAACAATTAACTAAAGAAAGTGCAACATTTATGTGGTATCGATCAATATTGATGGTTCTTCAATTAATGGCAAAATATGGTAATTCAAAAGATGAAATGATTACTGAATGTCGAACAATTTATCATAATGATAAAATTGAACAAAAGAAAATAAATGATTTTGAACAAAATTACTGTCCAACGAAAGTATGTTGGTGGTATACGAAAGATAGTTTTGTATATCGATTATTAAATAGAGCTTTACGAACACAAAATACTGAAATTATATTTAAATTTCGTTTTTTCATCAATGATCTTTATAATCAAATTGAGCAACTTTACCATCAACATTTAAAGACTCATTCTTCTATTAGTGATCGTCGTCAGTTAACAGTCTATCGTGGTCAACATTTAAGTATGACAGAACTTGATCTATTTAAAAATAATATAAATGAACTTATTTCAATGAATAGTTTTTTAAGTGCTACAGTTAATCAAGCAGTAGCTGAAATTTTTGCAGATACAAATAATCAATTGAATAAATCATCACCAAAACAATCTGTTCTTTTCACAATTGACATTCGTAATATGAGTAAAGAAACGACACCATTTGCATTTATACAAAATTATTCGTGTTGTCCAGGTGAAGAAGAAGTACTTTTTTCGATAGGTGCTATTTTTAAAGTTCAATCAGTTGAACAACGTGCCAACATGTGGTATGTCGATTTACAATTAAGTAAAGAACAAAATGAAATTAGTCAAAATCTTTCGAATCATATGATGAAACAAATTGGATCAGAACCAGATCCATTATTATTTGGTTGGTTTCTTTTTCGAATGAATAAATTTGATGAAGCTGAACGCTATGCAAAATATATGCTTACACAACTTCCATCAAATGATAAAGCAATTGGAAATGCTTACAATTTACTTGGTCTTATCTATAAAGATACTCATCAGCTAGAGCAATCTGTTGAATGTTATGAAAAAGCTCTTGAAATTTATTCTAAATTGAGCTGTCACAATAGTCCTCAAATTATTGCTACTCATTGTAATCTTGGTTTAGTTCATTTGGAATTAGGAGATACTCGAAATGCAGAAGAACAACAAATACAAGCCGAAGATAAGTTGCGCAATTCCTTACAATCAAAGAATACATTACTCATAGCTACAGTGGAGAGTCTCAAAGCGAAAATTCAAACAGAATATGGTGATAATACAAATGCTTTGAAAAATCTTGAACAGGCTTTAAAGAGCAAACTGGAACGATTACCATCAGGCTCTCCTTCAATAGCGTCAACATTAAATGCTATAGGTATTGTACATGAAAAAATGAACAATAATGTAAAAGCACTTGAATATTTTCAACAAGCATTGGAAATCGGTAACAAAAGTTTACCACCTGATCACTTGGATTTAGTTGATTATCATATAAATATTGGTTGTATTTATGATAAACAAAAACAATTTAAATTTGCTTTGAAACAATTTGAATTAGCACTAAAAATTATGAACGATTTTCCGAGAGAAGAAAATGATAGGATCGACAAACTAGAAACATATATCGCTGATACAAGAAAGAAGTTATACCAGTTATAAATTTACTAACAAAAAGTTTTTCTTTTCACGAATTTTTTTGTATTTTTTCCTTACATTTACTTATCATGTTGCTGTAAGGTGAGAATCATTATTTATTAATATTCAATGTGGAATAATTAATGCATGTTTGATACAAGTATTAAATGTTCCGATTATATTATCATTTAGTTTGGTTTACTTGATCGTTTAGTATATAATGTACAAGAGAAATTCATGAGATATTAAATTTATCGCGTTTTATTTTATTACTTATGAAGTTATTATAACATTTGTATCTTTACTCTTTTTTTAAAGGATGTCAAAGGAGTGAAGGTACTAACAGTAGTTAAAGAAACAAGAAGTGTAAAATAAACGTTGAGAAAATATGTATTCATATGTTCTGTTATGTTTTTAATTCCTTTTCTTAGTAATGTAAAAGATACACGTGCATAGAAAATTAAAAACGAAATCAATTAGATTTCTCATGGATTTATGGCTTTTCCATGTGTTATAATAATTCCTCGATATACAAACAGTAAAACAAAAAAAAAGTAAGTTCATTCATCTTATATTTCATAAACTTAGGAGTTCATAGGAAATAAATATGTTTTTTAATTTTTTCGAGTCTACTCCTAAAACGAAGCTCGTGGAGTAGAGTAAATAAAATTTGACCTATATTGCTAAGAATTATGAATATATTTATAATTGTCTGTAATAATTTAAGATTCATTTTTGATATAATTAAATCTTCAAAGTTTTTTTATTGTTGCAATATTCGATTTTTCTAAGTTATGTAGAACAAAATCACTAAATAGCTGAATTTTATCAAATGAATTATTTGAAAAGAAAAAGAAACTAATTGAAATAGAATAATTAAAAAAATAATGAATTGACTGAAAGTTTCTATATAAATGATCGAATTCATTGATTATTGCTTAATTATTCTATCATCTCATGCTGTATATTATTGAATGTTTCATAAGAAGCAGAGATTCGCTAGTCGAGATATTATAATGTCTCGTTTTGTCGGAGACAGTGACAGACACTATGAGATTTAACAATTTTCTTCTTTTTTTGACTATACTAAGATATACGAACACATTTTACAATCCTTTAAATGAACTTTCGACCGCTCATAGTTATCTAAATATTCTTATTGTGCGCCTTTTTTTTATAATAGTCTACCAGGTGTTTAGCCAGTTTTGTAGGCCATCGAACGAGCTTTGAAAAGTTAAAAAAGATTTTCTCTAAACTATTTTTGCTTAGGAGAAAAAAGTGCAAAAAAAGAAAACATAACGTTGCTACATAAACTGTTGTCGATCGATTTTGAGGTACTTAACGTGTTCAGAAATATTTGATTTTCATAAATATTGGTCTTTTCTGTATATATATAGTTGTTCTACGCAAAAATCAAGTTGCTAGATTAATATGGAAGCTCATTAAATGTACAGTAACTTGGAAATTGTACAAGAATGTACAGAGTGTAGATAAAGCGAAGACTCATAACCGTATTCACATCTACGCCGGTGACGAATATTGATTGAAAATGGACTAAGTTGATTCCAAAGTGATTCAACTACTGTTGTGTAAGAGTAGGCCATAATTGATATTCGATATTATATTGATCATTTATCTGCTTGATTCGATCGAACTGATGAATAACAGCATAGACTTGTCCATTTCGATTCAGGATAAGTCCAAATTTATTACGAATGTAAATTCCTCGATATCCAAGTGTCGCTACAAAGCCATTTTCGTGTGTAATAATATGAATTTTAGTGTTGTTAATAACATTGTTGTGAACTATATAATTATGAATACCTTGATCGTTACATTGTCGATATTTGCTTCTGGTAATTTGTTCAACGATCGAAAGATAATCAAGCATTGGTCTCCATGAACCTAATATTGTACCAGCACATATAATTGAACGATTTCCAATACGTTCAAGTTCTGTATCACCGTAACAATCTTTAATCCATTTGGAATTGTAACTGCATTTTTTAATAGTCATTTTAACAGATTCTTGAAATACGAAAAGACCCTCATCATATTGATTCACATAATCAAATATGTTTCGTTGAAATATAACATCACGAGCGTCTGTTATGAAAATGTACTTGTATCGATTTTTCATCTGATCAAGATGTTTTAAGTATCGACTAATTACAATCCAGCGTAGTGACGCAGTTGTAACAGCGGACCATTTTATAGATGCGTCTGATGGTATCCACATATTGTAAGGAATATAAATAATAGAATATAAATTGGCGAGTTCAAGAAAGTTTTCTTTGGCAATCATGTCATTATGAAGAAACAAGACTATATGACAACTATTGCAACTAGTTCGAGCAGAACGAATAAATCGGTATGTTGTTTGTAAAGGTAGATTAACAAGAAAACTAATTATTATATTGTTCTCGGAGAGAGCTTCGGGAGTCATTGGAAAATATTGCAAAAAGAACACTTTTGAAGTTTCTTGATTAAAATATTTGCTTGAACCAATGAAGAATCCAATAGCAAACATCAATAGCAATTTGGGCGTTAAAGTCCATAAATGTTGAGCGTTGAAATTGCGATAAAATCGTGTATAATGTTTTTTGATTCTGTAAAATATAAAAATTCAACATTTTGATACTTAAAAATAAATGTTTTTTTAAAACAGAAAAAAAGCCTTTTTTCTTTTTGATCGCGAAGAAGAAACATACTTATAAATATTTCTGTGTTTCAGAAAAACGTCTTTTCCTACTTAATAATATGATACACTTCCTTTTTTTGTGATCTATGTAGATGATTTCTTTTTACTAAAGTCAACCGACATATAACAATCAACGAACTCGATTATAATAGTATAGTACATACCAGAGTAATATGTACATTGTGTTTAGTTAATTCTTTTTTTTTTATCACTACTAATTAATTGTTTCAATATATAATGCATTGTAATTGTTTGCTTTTAATGTAACAGTTATTTCCATGTCATGATTTTAATACACTTGCATTGAAGAATAATCGACTAAAAATAAAGATTATTTAATTTTTTTCACAAGAGAATATCGTTCATGGGTTAAATGAATTTAAGATAGAGGTATAAGGCCTACTTCTTATTTAATGTTGTTAGCAAACTCATGACTGGATTGCACATTTTTTTTTTTGTCTTCCTTTCCTTTTGCATACAAAACCTCAAATTATCCACAAACTTGCATTGGTGTCTCTTATTAATCACGTAAGTCTATTTGTGGGTAGAAATTGAACGTGTCATTGATATATTTTCACATTCATAGCTTGATTTATTCAAACAAAAGAATTTTTTTCGATAGTGTTTTGTCATACAGAGCAATAGAACTCAACCGATTCTTTTCTATACAGTAGTGTGGAAAGTTGCAAAAATTGTTTTGTGAAGCATTGAAGGAAACGAGAATTATATTTTAATTATATGGTATGAATTCTGATTCTATTATTCTGGATAAAAAAAAAGTTAAGACATATCAAATAGTTGCTCTACAAATACTTTTTCTGAGGATATGGGTGGTGACATGATTATCTACACCCACATCCAGATCTACATTCTGAATGTCAAGTGAAGACGAACGATTACGCTCTAGGGTCCTGCAGGAACGACATTTTTCCGTCCCGTTTCTCGCGGGAATTCTCGTGAGACTTTTGGAGTGATAACACGAGAACGATATTAAAAAATTGACGTCTCCAAAAATCGCTTTATCCTATTTCTATATGCATCAAAATGTGTTCAAGTCTTCATCAAAAATAAATATAGATAAAATTCACTAAAATGAAGGCTTTTTAAGGGTCGTTCTCTATCAAAAATCGCGATTGTCGTCAATAGAATCGATTTTGAGATTTTCATATGATTTGATAGCCCTGATTGTCAACTTTCGTAAATAGTATGATTTATCGAAATTGTGATGGTTTTTCGTGGTTTTTACACAAGATTTACTGATGATGCTGAAGTCAGGAAATATGAATTTGCAAAATTTGTTGGACGGTTTTCTCAAAACGAGTTTTCTTTTCTTTTCTTTTTTTCTTTTTGTGCATCACAGATTTCTCAGCTATTTGAAATACTAGAAAGCAGAGTCCGATACTTTATTTTTGACTTATTTCATGAGAAAAATAGGTCTTTTCTCATAGGAGTATCCCTGTTTTTTGCTAACTTTTCAAGAAAACCTGACACTAAAACTTAACAAGGAAGAACTTTTAAAAAAATGTTGACTATACTTTGACACCAACCCGAGATCTCTATTATTAAATTTTGAGGAGACATCTGAGACGTACGGAGAGCTACTTTTTGACCCTTAATCCAAAGATAACTGTTGAAAAAACTTCCACTAAAAGCTTTCTAGGCCTAGGTAAATCTCTTCTAAAAATTTCAGCAAGATTGATTGTTCTGGGATGAAAATACATTTTTGAAACGGAGGAAAGCTTAAATAGCAAATCTCAGTTGTATCATTTGTTCGATGAACTCCGAATCCAAAATTTAGTCTTAATTTATACCATGCTATATTATGAAAAGCGTGATGCTACAAGAAGCTAATATCAGATAATAATAGTTTTTTCGAAACGCGATAAATAAAATCATAATAAGAATTCTGAAAACCTTACGTAAATGGGAAGACAATTTTTTATGACAATGAGAATATGAGAACAGGAACAAACATTTTTTTTTGGAAGCGAGAATGTGAGAACAGAAACAAAAAAAATTTTTTTTTGTAATTGAAATAGGAACGAGAAACGGCACCCGAGAAAAGTTGTTTCCATACGATACTATGTACACTCACACACCCAAAATTAAAGAAACGTGTTGAATATAAACTCTTTGATGAGAAATTACAACAACTAATTATAACGGAAAATGGTGAATAACCGAAGGATGTGATGTAGAAAGATTGTTGACCGCGTTATTTGAACACATATTTCAAAGTATTGCCTCATTTATTATTTCTTCAAGCTCGCTTCCGTTACCTGCCGTATGTGATTTTATTTCTCTTTCAATATTTTAACACACACTATTACTTGTCATATAACTTTTACACTAACTATGTATAGCATCGAAAAAAGTGTGTAACGTCGAGTGTACTGTATCCTTGACTCTGCGTAATGTCGACTGTGTATGAGTGAATTGCAACTTTTTGGTACGATTAGGATTTTAGCTATTTTTGAGTAAGAGAAAAAATATAATGAATAGTCGATTTAGTACAGCTTGAAATGCTCTTTCAAATGATATGTCTTTTGTATTTCTTTCTCCTTTTTTTCACATCCATTCGCTTCAAACACATAATTACAGACACTTATTCATTTTCGTGTAGACTCATCTTATGTTTTAATTTTCTCCTTCTAACTATGACTTGAACAAACGAGAATGTATTCAAAAGAAAGGCCGTCGAACGGAAAACAAATTGATTAAAAAGAAACTTCTTGTGAACAGCTTTCCTCTTTGTTGAAGAAAAAAAAAATCTCTTTTTCCAAAAATTTAAGTTTTACTTACCTTTCTTATGTGACATATCAACTAAAAGTGGATTTAAAATGAGTAGTATTGTAGACCATTCGATTCGTTGCATTGCGAGAAGTTATACTAGACTAATTTCAAACAAATTTAAAGTATTATCGGTTTTTCCATTAAATAGCACTATGAACGGTGCATTTCCGCTGCAAAATATTTAATATCTCCATAAATATACAATAAAATGTTGAGAAACTTTTACTGCGTAACATAGACATAGAGTATATAATAAAATGTACTAGTCAGAAATCGTTTAGATTCACTTTCGGTTTTTCATGTCAATCGTACTAAAAAGTTGGAATTCACTCGTATATGTTCTTCACTGTTCTCTTTCTTCGAATCATTTCTCCTTCCTTCTATTTAATGCAGTAACCTCTCAGAGTGACAAGAGAACAATGAACATATATACAGTGTATAGCGCAGTGAGATTACAAAGGTATTGAAAGAGTACTGAACATTATGAAGTGTATTACTTAAGGATACAAGGATGATACCACATATAGGTGACAGCATGTCACATCGATGTAACTCTGGGTGCACTAATCTCGACTTTTCATTGGATAATAGGAGACTTATACTTTAAATGAGCAAGAAATTCTGTTCAATTTTTGATTTGAATGTGAATTTATTTAAATAAAACTATTTTCTTGTATTTCTTTAATTTGTTCTTTATAATCAGGTTCAAGTGTTCGGCGCTCGTCTACCAACTGTATAAGTGTTATTCTTTTGAATTTTTCGCTAACATGGTGAACTTTTTTTAGAAAGACAATGTTGACAGTTTTTGTCGAGAATTAAATTCTCTATTGAATGAATTTGTTATCATATTTTAAAATCATTGCTAAAATATCTGAAAGAATTTGTTATGCTCCACCTGTTGGTATAATTTATATAATGTTGATAACCGCTGACAAGCTAATAATGATGAAGGATTATTAATAATAGTTTGTTTTCTTGCTGTCAATGATATTATACTTGTTATGAAAGGAGAAATAAAAGATATGATAAACTGATTATTACATATTTCTGATACACCTTCAGTGAAATTAATGTGAGAATAGAATCGATAGATTTCTTGTTAATATTATTTAGCGGTGATTTCAGAAAGAAATAATTGTTTACTTGTTGATAAAAGTGAAACAAGACATGCATCACTTAAATTATTCCATCGTTTTAATGCTTGAAAAAGTTGTGTTCATACTTTCATCTTGTCCTCGTGCTAGTTCAACTGAAAATATTATTGAATCTCAATGTTTTTCTTCATATCCCATTGGACTAATACTTGTATATGTATTAGAAGGATTATTTTCTCAACAATAGATCCATCTTATATAAAAAGAAAACTATTTTACAATTATTTAGATGATACATAAGATGGCAGCAATTTGAAATTTGAGTCAAATTTTTTTGTCATACTTGGATAGAGCTCGTGAGTTACCTAAAACAAGCATTGTTTGTATAATATTTTTAGACGATGTTTTTCTAGTGAAACTTAAGAAAGTTAGATTTAAAAAAAATGAGAAAAGCCTATACAAATTGAAATATGCCACACGCTTCAAGCCTCGGTAGTTGCAATATCTATCCAATTTTTTTTTTGATTTTACTTGTGATATACTATCGAAATT